AGTAGGAGAGTGATCAGGAAATCATGCCGCTTGAAGACTGGTTGAAGGAAGCAAGGCACGTAGCTAGTAAAAGATGGGGGCAGGGAAGATGAAATGGCATAGAAACCTTCATGTATTATTTTAATGAATATCATGCAGAAAAGGGATTTACAATTGTTCTGCTTGGCCTCAGAGGGCAGAAAAAGGAGCAAGTGGAAGACACAGAAAGAGAGATTTCAGCTGGATGTCAGGAAAATCTTCTTCACAACTTGAGCTATCCAGAAGTAGAAAATGAGGCTGTGGGAAGTAAAGTTCTCTCTAAGTAGAGGGGCACAGAGTTCCAGCTGCTTGTCATTTACATTGTAGCCAGGATTACTACTCAGGTATGGGCTGGACCAGATGGCCCCCGAGGACGATTCCACCCCTATGATTCTATGACCTTGGCATTGCCACAATCCATGATTTCCATGTTCCTCTCTGTTCACCACTTAGAATAATCCCAACCAAAATCAGATGTAATAATTATTGCCAGACCCTGGAAACTGGGGTGCTGGGTCATCTTCCTCTCTGCCAAGTGTCTCCTCTGGAGATTGGATGGATGGACAGAAGGACAGGAAGACAGATGGATGAGGATTCAAACTTGGAGGAGCCCGATTTCCAGAGAGAAGGGTCAGGATCTTTTGTTTCATTGGCTCTTTATATCTGTATCCTAAAGACTCAAGGAAAATTAAAGACTAAACTTTGTTCATGTCTAGCTAGGGTTTACCCAAAAAGAAGAATATAGGCATTTTCCCTATGCAAAAATACCGACTTTACATAAAGAATTCTGAAAGAAATCTGCATTTAAAAAAAAAAACCCAAAACAACCTATGTTAACATTACCCATACAGGACTGCACTCTCAATCTCTGCTCTTGCCCCTAGAAGAGGCTCTCCAAAGTCTCCCTCCCCCCCACCAAGAAGGGCCCCCCAAAAAAACCTTCCAAGTGAAAGCAGAACAACGACTGAGACCACCACCAAAGCTGCCACATCAGGTGCTTGGCTTGAGACCTCGGGGAGAGGAGATCTTTGCGCTGCTCCGCCCACCCAAGTTGCCTCGCACGTCTGTCTTCCCTCAGTCTGTATTGGGTAGCATTGCCCGTCCTCTCCTGTCTGTGATCTGCCCCCACGTGGCTGGCCCCAACCCTGAGTGTTCCTCCTCTCACTTCTGTCCCCAGCATCCTTTGAACTGCCCACTCCCTCCACAGGTGTGAACCCCCTTTCCTGCCTGCTGGCTCCCTCCCTCCCTCAGGTCCTTCTGCAATTACATAACATAAAACTGCATTATGTAAAAATTGCTTCTGTATAGGTCTGCTGAAGGGTCCACAAGTTAAGTAAGGACTGTCTGTACAAAATACTTGATATACAATGTTAGCCAGATATGGGACAGAAGTTTATTTTCTTCATGCAAAAAAAAAAAAAAAGCTTAACACAAACTCAAAAACATCCAGTGAAGGAAAAAATTTTAGCAGCAGTAACAACCATACTGTTGCTCACATTAGTATAAAATAAATGTATTGATATACAATTAGTTACAACTTTGGGCATCTTTAGAAACTTTAATCTATCCTTTTGCTGAAATCACTTGTTTTGTATAATTTGACATGAGTTTATAAGATTTTGACACACATCCTCCAATTCATCATGAACCACTTTTACCACACAGGATGCTATGCATACCTTTGACAAAACAATCCTTTTTAAAAAGGTCTTGCCTTTTTTGGACCAACCATGGGATGTTGATAGGATTCAAATCAATTTCCGAGGCATAGACCCATGTTTATCTCCTTTTGAATAAATTTCTTAACTTTTCATGTTTGTGGCCTGATTCAAATCCATATTCACTTGGAATTCTGTAATTCTGGAAAAATTCTACTTCCTACAATTTAACAGATTTATTAGAGTTCATTTCTACAATGGGAACAAGAATTTCATACCCAATTGAAAAAATAAATTCCCCAAAGACTTTTGAGGGGCAGTGTTTTGGGGTATGAAGATGCCCAGGTCTTATAAAAAATTCACATGGACTTCTAACAATAGTTTTGATATAGCCTTGAATGAAAAAGTGAATTTCATCAGTAAAAATGAACTATTTTCTCTTGTCCATATTCTAATGAGGGACATTCAGGGTCTTAATCTCTATTTGTAACTAAAGGAAGTCTAAAGTCCAAGGAGTTGGAACTCCCTCAGGTATCCCTAGGTAAAACAAGATGACAGACAGCCCTTACAGAATCAGTCAAAGCCAGTTCAAAGAAGTGCTTAAAGCTGGGAGATGGAGGAAAACAACATGGAAAAAAATGTACAAAGCTCCAGCCATTTTTTTTTCTGCTTCAATTCTACTCCTCAAAGATGGGATGGTGGATATAGCAGTAGATGTGGAAATAGGAAGACCTTGGTTCAAATGCCTCCTCAGACATTTATTAGTTTTGTGACCTGGGGCAAGTCATAACCTCTCTTGGTTTCAGTTTCCCCCTCTGTAAAGTGGGAATAACAGCAGCACCCACCTCACAGGATTATTGTGAGCAACAAATGAGGAGTTATGAAAACCTTAAAGCACTATAGAAATGTTAGCTATTATTTCTGAATGTAAACCATTCCAACTATCTTCTCATCTTGCCTTCTCTTCTTGTCTTCTTCCCAAAGGGACAATGCCATGCCTTGCCATCATGATTTGTGGAGGATCTGGGAAGCAAGAGGAAGGCAAACTCTTCTATCCCTTTATTGTTTTTTTTTCCTGATCTTCTAGCTTGACACCCTACTCTAAACAGCCTGATGGGTGAAAGAATCATGAGGTCAAGTTCCAGGAGTAGGTTCTACCTGAATTTCCTTCCCCCTCTTCTCAACATTCTGAGAAAAGTTGAACTCACAGGCAAACCTGTGCCATATGGTTTTGAAGAGAAGCCACCTGGCTAGAAGCCTTAGCAACTAGCAATCCCTAAGCAAATGTTAAATACATTTATTACAGCAATAAATAATAATGTAAGATGGAGTGTACATGATGTGAACACCTTTAATACAATTCTAATTTTCTTGTTGCTTCAAGAGTCACCAATTGTTATAGCAACAAAACAGAAAAACAGATCACAGTATTAATTTGATATCTTGGCTTCATTTGTTCTACATTTGTGTTACGACTCATGCATAATAAACAACTCAGGCTAAGTAAAAGCAAAAGACAAGACTGAAACAGTAGTAAGGGTATAACAGGTTGGCTTCCAGGCTTTGATGTTTTTTAAAGTGAAAAGACATAATTTCCTCACAACTACTACCTGTGAATTTCCTATATAATTTGCTTTCCATTTGATAACTCTCAGGGGGCTAGAGAATACCATTCTTATCTACTTTGATATTATAAAGAATAGCAGGAAGCTATTCTTAGAGCCTGGTGGAAAGTGGACTAAAAGTCTGAATCCTTGGAGTCCAGCTCTCTCCCTAACCAGATTGTGACTTTAGTGAAGTGCTGAGCATACGGTAGGCACTCAATAAACACTTGTAGATCAATAGGTTTGGGCAACTCATTCAACCTCTTTAACTTCCATGTCTGCAAAATGTCAATAACGTATTCCCTGCTTACCTTAAAGGATTAAATGATGAGCATTGTAAATTTAAATCCTGGGGCCCGAGGGGAAAATATTTCCGAGAGTCACAGAATCAGAAAGTATTTCATAGGTACCGTGGCATATCATACATAGGGCTTAGAGGTAAAATGGACCTTGGAAACCACTGAGCTCAACTTTCTGGTTTTACAGATGAGGAAGGTGAGGCACAATTAAGGTCAGATACAGCAGCAAATGGCAGCTAGACTTTGAATGCAGGTTATTTAACATCAAATCCAAGGATATTTCTACTATACCATCCTAAAGGTTATCTAGCCCAAACCTCAACCAGAAGGGAAATGTCATTCTATAATTCATCAGCCAATAAACATTTATTAAAAGTCTATGTACCATGCACTATGCCAAGTACTGAGGATGCAAAGAAAGGCAAAGACAGTCACTTCCCTCGAGGAGCTCACAGCTTAATAAGGACGACAACATGCAAACAACTATGTACAAACTATATACAAGATAAATTGGAAGTAACCAAAAGAGGGGAAGGCTCTTGAATGAAGGGGAACTGGAAAGGCTTCCTGCAGAAAGTGAGACTTTAGCCGAGACTTGAAGAAAGCCAGGAAACCAAGAGGCAGAGATAAGGAGGTAGAACATGTAGGTACAGTGTGGAAGGGGAGGGGAAAGGGCACTGTCGTCGAAAATGCCCAGGATAGAGAGATGCAGTGCCTTGTTCAAGGAACAACATGGAGGCCAGTGTCAGAGAGCTGGGGGCTGACAGCGTATAAGGTATGAGAAGACTGGAAAGGTAGAAAGGGGCCAGGTTATAGAGGGCTTTGAATTCCAAACAGGATTTTATATTTGATCCTGGAGGTGATAGGGAACCATTGGAGTTTATTGGGGGGGGGGAGTGGTTGAAATAATGACAAATTGTCACCTAGCCTTTGGAAGCACTATAATGACAGGGAAACACCACCTTCTAAAAGGGCCCTTTCTACCCTTAAACAGCTCTCATTGTTAGGGGAGTGAATTTGTTTGTTTTTCTTCTATGGATGCAAAATCTGCTTCTCCAATTTCTCATAGTCCTGCTCTCTGGAGGCAAGCAAAATACAACTAATCATTCTTCTATTAGATAGCTCTTCAAATATTCAGAGACAGAAAATATGTCCCTCTCATTTTCTCAGATTCAGAGCTAGAAGGAATCCACTGTCCCTTATTTTACAGATTAAATGACCTTCCCAGCATCACACAGACCAGTAAGTATCCGTGGCAAAATTCGACTCCCAGGTTCCAGGTCATTTTGACTCAAGGGGCAGCATGATCTCCTACACTGGTGGTGTTGAATTCAAATAAAATTGGAGGCCACTAGTGCCTGCATAAGGGTCCCTGCAGGCTGCATATTGACTCAGTTTTTAAAATGTAATGTTATCTGCTTTATTGTGTTTTTATTTATTTTGTTACATATTTCCCAGATGCATTTTAATCTGGTTCAGGCTGCATGAGGTAGGCTGCATGTTTGACACTCTCCTATACACCATGGTTCCTCCATATCTTCTTTTCCATAGTATAAATATTCTTAGTTCCTTCAACCAATCCTCAGATAGTCTGGTTTTGAATCTCCTTGCCATCTTGATCACCTGTAATGAACAGGCAAACCTGATTCAGGCTAGCCATCTGTAAGTTTAGGTTCTGTGTTAGGATAAAATGAGATGCTTGTAAGTCATTCAACAGTTACAAAAAGGAGGTTTACTTAGCTATCTATGTTCAGCAAGAAGACTACAGCACTAAGCTTGGGTAGAAGAAGATTCCCACCTCTCCCTTCCATATGGACACTCACCTGGTCAGTCTACGAACAGCGCAGGCTGGATATCCCCTGTCTAAAGGCTCCAACTCCACTTGGGTGACCCTTTTTGTGCCCTTAAATGACCAGGAAGCCAAGTCAGGAGAACCAGAAGCTATATTGGAAATGGCATCATGGGAGTGGCAGCTAGAGTCTTAGTCCCCTGGGCCAATCAAATCCAAAGACAGCTGTGGTGCTGCATGTACTTCAGCTAATCAACATCAACAGATACATATATACAGCCAGCTCAGACTGGAATTAAAACGAAGAAACGTATACTTCCATCCAAGTTGTGAAACTGACTCACTGGACATCATGAAATGAGTCACTTGAAATCTCTGTAACCAAGCCTCATCAACTGCTAAATGGGCATAAATCTTCTTGCTTGCTACTTACTTATAGGGATGCCAAGAAGATGAATTAGTTGATGTATGGTACGGTGGAATGAGTCCTGGAACTAAGGCTCAGGAAGACTTAGATAGATAGATAAATAAAGCATTTATTAAGCACCTACTAAATGCCCAAAGAGGCAGCTAGGTACACTTGACAGAGTACAGGGCCTGAAGCTAGGAAGTTCCCGAGTTCAAATCTGGTCTCAGACACTTACTGGCTATGCGACCCCAGGCAAGTCACTTAACCCTGTTTGCCTCAGTTTCCTCATCTGTAAAATAAACTGGAGAAGGAAATGGCAAACTACTCCAGTATTTTTGCCAAGAAAACTCCAAATGGGGTCATAGAGAGTTGGGCATCACTGAAAACAACTCAACAGCAGCAAACACCCAAAGCACTATGCTAAGTGGTAGGGATACAAATGAGGACAATAAGATGATCTCGGCTCTCAAGAAGCTTATATGCTAATGGGGGAAGACAAAACAAAGAAGAGCTAGAAAGGGAGAGAGAAAGGAGGGTGAGCCCATTTTACAGATGAGGAAACAGATACAGATGTTAAGGGACTTGTGCAGGGTCAAGCAGCTAATAAACGTCTGAGGCTTGATTTAAACTCAAGTGGTCTTGATGCCAAGCCATTCACCAAATCATCTGGCTGCCCATAAAGTCCCTTTCAGGTTAACACACGATTCAACGGTCACATTCTTCACCATGAGTCAGCTACAAACATTGTTTCCATTTGGCACCGAGAACAGATTCTAGAATTTGAGGTGCTCGTCATGGCAATTAACATTGAATCTATTCTTATAGACATCAAGAGAAGAAAATAATTCCATCAAGTCAATTTGGAGAAGACTTACCAGTCTACTGCCGGATGTATTGGAACACAGAAGAATAACCTAAGCAGGAATCATTATCACTGCTGTTGTTCAGTTGTTTTGGTCACGTCAGACTCTTCATGACCTCAGTGGGGGTTTTTCTTTCTTTTTGGTGAGGCGATGGGGTTAAGTGACTTGGGTCACACAATAAGTGTCAAGTGTCTGAGGCTGGATTTGAACTCGGGTCCTCCAGACACCAGGGCCAGTGTTCTGTCCACTGTGTCACCTAGCTGCCCCCATTCAGGGCTTTCTTAGCAAAAATGCTGGAGTAGTTTGCAATTTCCTTCTGCAGCTCATTTTATGGCAGATCTGAACTCACGAAGATTAATCTTCCTGATTCCCAGCTCAGTGTTTTATCTACCGTACCACCTGACCACACTCCTGCTTGGGGAACTTCTATCAATCAATCATAAACATACATTAAAAGTGCCTACTGTGTTCCAGGAATTGTGCTAAACTCTGGGGATACAAAAAGAAGTAAAAGGTAGTCCCGGGCCTCAAGTAGCTTAACAGTGATTACAGTCAGCTAAGTCATATTATGCAGCCCTTTGTTCAGCTGAATACTGTATGTAATTGAGTTAATAAGCCTTTGTGAAGAGAAACATAAACATAGAGAGCAGTGATATAAAGGACTCCTGTAAATTTAAAACTAATATTCACTGACCATCAATAGGTTAGGTACCCAAGACATAGCTGTCATCTACAGAAGGTCTCAGATGAAATGTGCATGTTTCCGTTCAATTCATCAAATACTTAGTAAGCACCTCCTATTCTCTAATCAAGAGGTAGTGGTACCATAGAGGATAGAAAGCAGGAATCAGGAAAACCTGGGTTCAAATCTTGCTTATGATCATTACTGGCTGAGTGACCACAAAGAAGTCACAACTCCTCAGTGGCCCCAGATAGCTTTTCTCTAGGACTTGAAGTTATAAATGAGCTGGAAAATATTGGGGAGTTTCCACACTCATAGCCCTCACAGGTCCAATCCCCACCCAGCCAAATGTGCTAGGCACTAGGGAAAATTGCTAAGCCATAGCTCTGGCTTCAAGGAGCTTGTAACCCGTGAGGAATGGGGAAAGCAGATATGTGAGTAAATAAGAAAACTTACATTCACATATAATTTAGATTACCCATTAATACAAATTGAGAAGTCTGAAAAAGCCAGGGTGGATTTGAGGAGGGGGAAATTATTGGGAGAGATTGTGGGCATATGGAGGGAGACGATCAGGGGAAATTTCATCAAAGAGACTCCAGCTGATTTGAGTCTTATGAGGAGGAAAGAATTTCAATAGCTGAAGATGGAGTGTGGGGGTGAGTAAAGGATATGAAGTGGGGTCAAGATAAGAGAGATGGAGAGAAGAGGAAGCTACCACAAGTATTCAGGCAAAAGGTGATGAAGGCGATGAACCACTGTTGAAGCCCTGGAGCGGAGGGGAGAGATTCTAAATTGGATTCCCAGAGATCAATCAATCCATGGGCCCTCTAAGGTTTTCCCATTCAGTCACCAGCACAAATTTGTTTGTTAGTTAACTAAGCGACCACTTCATTCATTTATTGGATCAACAAACATTTATTGAAAAGCTAATCTATCATGTACAAGGCATATGTTGAAAACACAAAATCCCTCCCATCAAAGGTTTACAAACCAGGCAGGTAAATTACAGGTATGGGGGAGGAGAGAATGGGAGGGGTTAGGGGAAGGAGAAAGGATGAGAATGTGACCAGGACAATTCACTAGTCTGAAGAAGAGCCTGAACAGACCAAGTCCTAAAAGGCAGGAGTAACTAAGCGACTGGAGTCAGGCAACTAGGTGAGCCCCTGAGTGATGAGAGACAGAAGGGAAAAGACAACACAAATTTTTCTTACTTCAGAAAGTAACTCTTTTTACACTATATTTCTTACACTTTACTTCCCTCTGTTGAGGTTCAGGGGTGATGGGACCCCAAAATCACAATGTGCGGTTCCTACCCAAATGAATTCGACCCAAGCCTTCTTTCAGCCAAAGACAAAGTTTATTAAAGATCCACTATATTGGCCAGACTCCTAAGGAATCTGAACATTTGTGAGCTATTGGCTGGATTATAAGAATCTGAGCACCTTAATGGAGACAAGTTGGACCTTATATACAGAAAGATTGTGGGAGGGATTTAGGGAGGATGGGGGTGGCCAATAGGCTGGGGTGACTTGGAGGAAGGGTCTAGGGAGGATCTTGATGGGAGTGACTACGAGATTGAGAATGGGGTCTAGATAAGGTCAAGGGTGGGAAGTAGCCAGAGGCCATCGAGAGGTAATAAAGGATTAGGCTCAATTAAGGGTGACAAAGAATTGGGAGATTTGGGATAGGCATAAGGAAAGGCCAGTTGACAGCCTCAGGTGAACTCCAGAGATTTGGCCACACCGGAAAGTCCAGTGCTTTTCCTTTTTGGGGTCCAGATCCCAAAGACATGGTCTTTTCCTTTTAGGGGTTCAGATCCCATCCTCATCACCTCCACATACTTATTGATTTAGCAACACTGACCTCCTTGCTATTCCTTAAACTAGGCACTCCATTTCCCTTTTCATTGGTTGTCATATGTGTGTATATATGCATATATGTATGTGTATATATAGGTATAGTGCATGTATATGTGCACTTGTGTATGCATGTATACATGCATATACACAAATATATCCTATGTATGAAACCCAGGCTGGTCTGGGCATGCCCAACTTGACTATCGAAAGCCCCCTTGATTGTTTTCTGGAGGGCTTTTTACAAAGTTCGGATCTCCAAATCTGATAACAAGGATAGAGCTGGCAAGCGAAAAGGAGTCCATGAGGTCTTAAAACTCAGTGAAATAAGGCAGCTGAACCACTCAGAGAACTGGCAGTGTTATCACACCAAAAATCTGGGCAAAGTGGATAAAGAGCTACTTGTTCTATGCCCTTGTCTCTCAGTTGCCCCCCTCCGTGATTCAAGCCCACACACTCCACACCGACTTGTTCTGTCAGAGATAAATTGGAGGAAAAATTTCCATTTCTTCCCACTCTGCTCCCCCAAACTCCAGAGCCTTTTGAGAGTGGCATCCCGTTCCCCAGAGTTCTCGAGCTGTCATCAAATGTACGTCTACTTAATTTTCTGCAACAACAAGGGGAGTCATGCCTGGGGTGTTCTTCCTCTTCCCTTTTGTGTGCTTTTAAGCAAGGGTCCGCCTAACTCCATTAGTGGGCTGAATAGATGTGACCTGTGAATTACACAGCTGCTCAGAGGGATAATTGCCCTGTAATCTAAACCATAATGTGTGTGAGAAAGTTTTAGAAAGTGACTTGGTGAAACCAAGTGCTAATAGCATTCCCTGGAGGACATTTCACTGAGCACCCCTTGGCGTGTTCAGCGCTGCACAAAGCACCCAGAGGGATGGCCAAGGATATGGAAGTTATGTTTGATTCTTACCCTCAAGAAGCTTCCAATCTAGACAAAGATGCAGAAGGGGAAGGAAGAACGATTTTAAAAACAAAACATTTATGAAGTAGTACATTAAACAAGCAGATTAACAGGGCATAAATTGAACAGGTAAAAGGACAAATCATTCCCCTAAAAAGGGGGGGCCACTTGAAGGAAAATTATATTTGCTAAGACTGAAATGAGCCAGCACTTACCTCCTGGAGGTCAGTGGCACTGAGGTTGGGACAATTCACATCCATTCCAACACATGGACTTTTGTAGTGAGTCTTGATTTTGAAGCTTAGGAAACCAGAATGTCAAGGGTCAGTGTGTTGCAGGAGAAAAAGCACTGGGACTAGAAGGTGGGAAGATTTAGGAGGCCTAATCCATAGTTCTGTGATCCTAGGCAAGTCAATTTCTTTATCTGTAAAATAGGAATAAAAATACCTGTAATCCTTACCTTATAGCACTGGTATGTAACTCAAATGAGGCAATAAATGTAAAGTACTAGGTAAACATTAAAGTAAATATAGAAATATATATGTTCTATAAGTAACAAAACCTGCTCTTTCTTACTGTTTTTCCTATTCTACCTAGCTAAGTCTCAATCCAGTCCACCCATTTATTCAACACATTTATTGAGCACCTATGCCCTCAGTGTCAGGCTAAGCACTAAAGGAAACAAACATGAAATGGTCCTTGCCCTCAGTGAACTTGTAATTTGGTGGATGGAGACAAAATTCTTACATATACACAGACCTTGCCCCCTAAAAGACGCACCCATGTTCAAGGTACTCTTTAATCTAGCATTTCTTCAAAACCACAGTTCATAAGCCTTCATCCACCATTTCCCTTGTAGCATATTAAACCAGGCAATTTCCAGACAAATGAAATAGAATAGGAAGGTTAAAACAAGGAAAAATTCCACAAATAGACAAGGGCACACTCTCCCACAGATTCCTGTGCCACCAGTAAAACTGGGAATGCTCAAGGCCTGGACCACACATGCTCCTAACTGATGATGTCAGCTGCTCGGCTACTTCCTCCCAGGAGCTGACCTGGCCAGCTGCTGCCTGCCTCTCTACTGAATCACAGCTGCTAAGTGCTTTTCCTTTCTCCAAGCAGAGGATATTTACAACTCCTCTAAATCTGCCTGTAGCATTAGAATGAGTTAATCTCTTTAATGAGTCAGAACCACAGACAAATACAGCAAAGCACAGCAAATAGTCCTTCAGGTCACATACACATGTATACACACATGCTTATATATATACTCATACAGGTATGTGTATATACACACGTACAAATCTGTATGTATACTGTATAAACATGTATGTACATATGTATTTTACTACTTTTCTTCTCCTTGAACAGTAATTCCCCTAAGTTTGCTTGATATATGAGTGAGGGTAAATAAATTCTTTTCAACATGTCATGTCCCTGGTTGTTTGAACCAGAGCCATGCAAATTATTCCCTTAGGCCAGGGATAGGGAACTTGTGGCCTTCTAAGTCCTTAGATGCAACCTTTTGACCAAGTCCAAGTTTTACAGAACAAATCCTTTCAGTTAGGGGATTTGCTCTGTGAAGTTTGGAGTCAGTCAAAGGTCCACACTTGAGGACCTAGAAGGCCATGTGTGGCCTCGAGGTCGCAGATTCCCCACCCCTGCCTTAGGTACACTACAGTCTTAACATAGGGCTAATAACTGTACATTCCTAAAATTATATTCATATTAGTGTCCCTCTCTTATACATACGTATAAAAAAAGACCAGTTTTTGGCAGCCCCAAAGCTTCCTGGGAGCCTGTTCTTCCATTTCATTTTGCTCTTCCCATCATCTTCTCCTTTGCTAGCAAGGTGGAAAGCTTTGGTGTGATAGGAAAAGGACTGGCCAAGTCAGGAAGCCAAATCTTGATTCTGTCAATGGTATGGCCATAGGCATGTCACTTCCTTTTTTCTGGACCTCAGTTTCTACCTTTGTAAAGTGAGTATCTTTACTATTCCTCTCAGCTCTAACACTGTGTGATTCTATCTTTCTCCATCCTTCCTCACTTCTCCTCCAGTTCCAAATACACACAACCCACACATGCTCCCCCACCCCCACCCCAAGCACATGAGAGCTTCTGGGGACTGTCAGGGAAGTTGCTGTAGAAAGTGATGAGGTCGGACCCTTTCTTCTTCTGATTTCAAGCCCCAGTCATGTTCCCAGAGAACGTGACTTTGTCCCTCTGATGCCACCTGCTTTCTCCTACCCACTAACCTTCCAAACAAATGCTTTTAATGGTTATTGGCTTAAAAGAAGAAAAAAACCTTCAAAGTAACAAACAATCATATAATTACTTTGCAGCTTCTTGTCCTTGGTAATTTTATGCTTGTGTTGCCGTAATTACACTTTACATGGAGTTACAGTCAGGGAGCTTTGCTATGGCCTGTCAGTGACACCTGCAGGATTTTCACGTGGGAAAAGGCCCTAGGGAAGCCTGGCTGGTGGAGTGCCAGGCTGTGTTCAGACCATGGCTCTGCACTGAGCTCAGCCCTCAGCAGAGCCATAGGTATTCTCATCATGGAGCCCTGGAATACAGAAAAGGGACAAGAGCCATTGTCTAAGGAGGCTGGTGGGAAATAGCCTTCTGCCCACACTATTGTGTGTAGCTTCCTAACTAGCCTTCCTGCCCACTCTGTTCTTCCTCCAATCCATCCTTCTCACCAGAAAAAAAAAATCTTCCTAATATACTACTACACTGAAGTCACTCCACCCACTCAAAAACCTGCTGTGACTCCCTGGTGCCTATAGGGTAAAATACAATGTCTCGATCTGGCAGCTAAGGGCTTTCCACTGCAGACTAGCTCCAACCTAGCTTCCTCCTCTTGGTTCCGGCCTGACTGGATTTCTGGCTCTTCCCTAGCCTCATCCTGTACTCTCTTGCCCCTGTGTACTCTGTCTACATCTCTGGTCATTAAAATCCTCTAAAGCCTCACTCAGATATTGCTTCCTTCATGAAACCTTCCCTGATTGCCCCACTCAACACAATCTATCCCTCCTCAAATTTTTATGCATCTTTAATCTCTCTCCTCCCCATCTCCCCACCAGACTGCCCACTCCTTGAGGGGGGAAACTCTCTTGTTTTTGTTCTTTGTATCTCCAGAGCCTAAGAGGATGCCTTGGGTGTGTAAGCACTTGGTCAATGTGTATTGGATTGAATTGGCTTTCTAAGACCACTTGTGATCTCTCCAGTTCCTTCTGCCACTGTCATTCTATAAGAGAGCAAGCTAAGAGAGTGGCAAGCTCATTTCTCCTACTCAGGAGAACCTCCCCATGGTGCTTTGTTAACTCTCTTGTACTTCCTTCTGCACTCGGTGCACTGAAATCATACCTAGAGCTGTCTTTTAGAATTCCCTTTGTCAAAATGCAGCAGCTGAGTGTTTCCAGATGTTAGTAAGAGTGCTCAGATTATGTAGCTCTTTACAATCTACAAAGCATAGTCCCCACATTAAGATGCTTCGGCATAAGCATCTGTTATGATAATTAAGGGGTTAAAACTTGCAATAAAGGAGACCTTGGATGAGAATGAGGCTGGGAGGTGGCTCACTCACATCCAAAGATAAAGCCTTAATAGAATTTGAATAGTTTTGCTAGTTTCAGTGTTAGAGTTAAGGATTATATGGCTTCATTTTTATTTTTGCAAGCATTTTACTTGAAGTCATACCGGGAAATGCTAGGGAAGCTAGCTGGTGCAGTGGATAGAGTGTTGCACCTGGGGTGAGGAGTTCAAATCTGGCTTCAGACACTTACTAGCTGTGTGACCCTGGGCAAGTCACTTAACCCTGTTTGCCTCAAGTTTTCTCATCTGTAAAATGAGCTGGAGAAGGAAGTAGCGAACCATTCCCGTATCCTTGCCAAGAAAACCCCAAATGGGGTTACAAAGAGTCGTATATGACAGAAAAATGAGTGAACAATGATAACAAGAGCAAGGGGAATGAGAGGCAGCAATTGCTTAATGGAGAGAGAAGTTACCTCAGAGCTAGAAAGACCCGAGTTCAAGTCCTTACTCTAACGCAGTGGCTGTGTGACCCTAAGCAAGTCATTCAACTTCCCCAGGTTCCAGATACCTCTAAAACTAAAGGTGCCAACTTCCATCAGTAAAGGTGGTTCCTCCTCTGACAGTTTTCTCTTTCTCAATGAAATCACAAGTCCAAGTCACATCTGCTAGGCTCACACAGTGATAGAAAGAACAGATAGGGATCAATACAACAGGAATTAACAGACGTCAGCGGGAGGCCCTAAGAAAAATCACAATGATGCCAGATTAGGAGGGACCAATTTTGACTGGCCAGGAAGTGAACCAGAGTACCAATATACAAGAGCGACCAAACAGTGACCAGAAGAACAAAATAATGTACTTGCTCAATCAACAAGCATTTATTAGGCATGCTGTCCCTGGTACCAGGAATACAAAGGCAAAAGAGAAGCAGCTCGTTCCCTTGAAGGGCTTACGATCAAGGTACGAGAGTCAACATACGCATATGTAAATAAATGTGAACTACATACAAGACAGTTTGGTGGGGAAGTCTCTAAGCACCGGGAGAACAGGATAGGCCTCATAAAGGTCACATGTGAGCTGAGCCCTCAGGGAAACTGGGAAACCCTCCGAAGACTGAACTGGGCGTGTGTCAGTCTAGACTAGTATAGGCTAATGGTATTATAATGAGAGTGAACAGACATAGGACATGTTAGACTCTTGTTCAAATAACTTTGGAGAAGGGGCGAGGCAGGAAGGATGCTACCTGGCATCATGTGGACTGGAGAAAGGGAATGCTTTTAGTCTTATATTTCTGGGAGAAGAGAAACTTTTAGTTCCATTTTACGCTGTAAATTGTTCCCCATAGCTTCAAGCTAGAGCCACTGGGGCCAATAAAGTACTTAGACAAATCTAGGTCTCTTCTGTCTTCCTGACTGGGAAGCCATGATGGAAAGAAGGTCAGGGAGCAATAATATTATGCACATTTTACAGATGCTCTAACATGGATTTTTTTTCTCTGTGTATGTATTTGGTTTGGTTCACCTGTTCTTGTCCCCTTCTCTTTTTTACTACCTTCTCATTTCCTCAGACAGCACACTGGGGACAGAGGCATTAGAGTTCAAACGCAGCAGTCCTATTCTCACTGATGGGCAAAAGAGTTTGTTATAAACAACCTGGTTTATCCGTGATAGGGAAGGGTGGTACAGTAGAAAAAGTCTTCTATTTGGAGTCATGCAACCTGAGTTTGAGTCACAACATTTACTTTCAGTATGACCTTGGGAAATCATTTAACTTTTCTAACCTCAGTTTCATTCTCTGTGAAATGACAGAGTTGGATATATTCAAGGCACTGAAATGTACTTCTTTTGTTGTTGTTCAGTCATGTCCAACTCTTTGTGACCCCATTCAGGGTTTTCTGGGCAAACATACTGGAGTGGTTTGCCATTACTTTCTTCAGCTCATTTTACAGATGAGGAAACTGAGGCAAGCAGGGTTAAGTGACTTGCCCAGGGTCCCACAGCTAGTAAGTGTCTGAGGCCAGATGTGAACTCAGGTCTTCCTGGCACTCACCACCTAGCTGCCCGTTTCAGCTCTGCATTCTAGAAATATCTATCTTCCATTTTTCTCCTCCCATTTTCATCTATAAATGCTTTTGGAATAATCTAGTACTGTCGCAAAAGATATCCTAGAAGGAATCCAAGTGAAAACTGATAGATGACACCAGGCTAGTTGCATTCAGCTCCATGATATTACATGGTCTCCTCCGTGAGCTTCATTACTATTACTATTACTCCATTACCATTCAAAGAATACGACAGGGAAAAAAGTCCAGAGGGATCAGGACAGTCATGACTATGACATGCATTTAGCTGAAAGGTCAGCCCTATGAGTTACATTGACTACAGAAACCAGTGCAGATGAACAATGAGCTGGGTCAAGAAATGTGGTAAAAACAACTGGCTGCATCCCATCTGGGAAAGGATAAAGCATTTGGATGCTCCCAAGCTGATCCCTGACACAAAGAATCCTCCAGGGGACAGGGAGTAGGATGTGGAGCAATGCTTCTCAACCTTTTTAGTCTCAGGACCCCTTTACACTCTTAAAAGTGATTGGGGGGGCAGCTAGGTGGCACCGTAGATAGAGCACCAGCCCTGAGTCAGGAGGACCTGAGTTCAAATCCGGCCTCAGACACATAACACTTACTAGCTGTGTGACCCTGGGCAAGTCACTTAACCCCAGTTGCCTCACAAAAAAAAAAAAGTTAATGAGGGACAGTTAGGTGGTGCAGTAGGACCCTAAAGAGCTTTTGTTTCTATGAGTTATAGCTATTGATATTTACCATAGTGAAAATTCTTTTAAAATAATAACCCATTACATCAATATAAATAATATTTTTAATGAAAAATAAGCATATTTTCCAAAGTAAAAAATGTAGTGAGAAGAATAGCATTATTTTACATATTTTTGCAAATCTCTTTAATGTCTGGCTTAATAGAAGATAGCTGGATTCTCATATCTGCTTTTGCATTCAATTGTTTGCTATATCTTATTTTGTTTGGAACATATGAAGAAAATTCAGCTATACAGATAAGTAGTTGGAAAAGTATTGCACTAGGTAAATAATGTCTTTGAATCATTTTGAATGTAGCTTTGGCCTCGTATATATAGTAGATACCCAGTGTCCATGTTCTACACTCTGAGAACTGTTGGGATAAGGGATAAAAAGTTGACCTCAGACTCAGAAAGATCTGAATTTTAGTATCATCTTTAACATATATTGGCTGTGTGACCTTCAGCACGTTGCTTAACCTTGCTGTGCTTTAGGCAACTAAGACTACAGGTTATAGAGCGGATGGCCAGGAGTCCGCTCACTGGGAGTTTCCTTATATAAATGAAATCACAAGTTCAGGCCCCCAAAATTTGCTCTAGTAAAACTAGATGGCTGTGACTCATGGAACGCTACAGTCTCCAATGAATTAAAATCGCAGGTGACCCAAAAGGCACTGGAGAGACATACATGGGAGGGATAAGAATACTATGCTATATAATAATAATAAGTGGCAAGTATAATAATATAAAGTATTATTACAAAAGCATATATAATAAAAATAATTATTATACAGGAAAGGCATGCTTGAATAAAGGCCTGGGCCAGTCATGTAGCAAGAGTCAGAGAGCATAGTTGGTGTGGAAGGCCAAGATAAGGCTGAACACACCAAATAAGGATCTTCTTTCATGGGCAGGCAATTTTAGGTAAGCAATCATCTGATAGGACAGAGCCTTTAGGAGAAGATAGGAGGGTCACCCCAACTCAGACCCCTAGTTCAGCAAGGAGCAACTCCATCTGGGATCCTAGGATCATAGCATCTCTAGCTTGAAGGGACCTCAGAGATCACTCAGTCTAACTC